ACCTGCTAGCGATGGCCTCCAACCTACTAGCAATGGCCTCCAACCTACTTGCGATGGCCTCCAACCCAATAGCGATGGCATACAACCCAATAGCGATGGCCTCCGACCTAGAGCAATGGCCTCCAACCTAATAGCGATGGCACACAACCTAAGAGCAATGGCCTCCAACCTGCTAGCGATGGCCTCCAACCTACTAGCAATGGCCTCCAACCTAATTGCGATGGCCTCCAACCCAATAGCGATGGCATACAAACCAATAGCGATGGCCTCCGACCTAGAGCAATGGCCTCCAACCTAATAGCGATGGCACACAACCTAAGAGCAATGGCCTCCAACCTACTAGCAATGGCCTCCAACCTAATTGCGATGGCCTCCGACCTGAGAGACCTAATGGCGATGGCATACAACCCAATAGCAATGGCCTCCGACCTAGAGCAATGGCCTCCAACCTGATAGCGATGGCACACAACCCAAGAGCAATGGCCTCCAACCTGCTAGCGATGGCCTCCAACCTACTAGCAATGGCCTCCAACCTAATTGCGATGGCCTCCGACCTGAGAGCAATGGCCTCCAACCTAATAGCGATGGCCAGCGATGGCCTCCAACCCAATCGATGGCCTCCAACCTACCAGCGATGGCCTCCAACCTAATAGCGATGGCCTCCCACCCAATAGCGATGGCCTCCAACCTAATAGCAATGCCCTCCAACCTCAGAGCGAAGTACTGCTCACTCGGCTTACTCTGTATCACTGTTCCATGCAACAGTCCGTGCCTTGTCTTGTCACAGGCAGCTAGCATGTCCGTCAGAAGCGGCTTTATTGCCTGTTGAAAGATGTGCTTCGCGAGTTCCCAAATGTACAAAAGTTGTACTCTGCTGACTCTGCTGGCTAAAAAGGTGATTGGTCAACAAGACGGCCTCCCATCTGCCGGTGAAGTGCTCCCAGGGCCTGTCGGAGCTCCCTGCGGCGTAGGTGAACTCGTTCCTCAGCACGAGAAAAACAAAAAAAATAGGCTACTAGGAGCAAAGGGCATCGCTACTAGGAACAAGGACGCTACTAGGGGCTCCTGGCCTTACTACTAGGAACAAGGTTCGCTACTAGGGGCTCCTGGCATCGCTACTAGGAGCAAGGACGCTACTCCAAGTGTACAATGTTTCCCCTCCACTTTTGCTGATTGCTTTCGCCTATGAACTGCGCGACAATCAAGAAGCACCTACTACTAGCGTTGGGCCAGGTGGCTCGGGCAATTGCACATCATCAGCCTGCGACATCCAAGCGAGAAAGTACCTCATGCAGGCATTCAAGTATTCCAAGATAAGACAAAGTATCTTCATGGTAAACTTTGTGCTGTTCCTTCTTTTGCAAACTGTGCGAGCTGATTCATTCGCACAACATGGTTAAACAAATCAGCTAATTCAGCAAATGAGGTGTATCGAGATCAGGCAGGTGGAGTTTTTGCAATGACATAAGACAGAAATGAAATGGCTCCAATGGCCAGAATCTGTGTCTAAGTTGTGAGTCTTACTCTCAACTTGTTCAGTGAAAAAGAAGCTGTGGTGACCAAGGCGTTCCCACGTTGATTTAATAGCTACAGCACTTTGTCATTTGATGCTTAACTGCGAAGACAGAACAAAAGCACCCTCCAAACCTCGCCTTTGTAGCCAGCGTCTCGTCGGGCGTCAGTGCTTGTCAGAGAAGGATACGCATAACGTGCAAAAAGAATTCAGGACGTTGAGATTGTACAAGTCATAGTCATAAAGACATCTATCTGTCTTGACGAGTTTCATGGCCGGTTTACCGTGAGTACAGGTGACTGTCAAAGATTGGAAATCTGAGCATATTATATATATATATATATGTGGTGCAATCCCTCTTGTCTCTTCCAGATTCTAAGCTGATCCTGGAGCCTAGAGAGGCAAGTAATGAGATACTTGCAAAGCTTGCACTGTGCACAAAAAATTAAGAAATTGAAAAGAAATTGAGTAGCAAAAGTTATCTTTTGCATTGGCCCCTCTGTCTCTCAAGTTTGACTGAGGCCTGAACTGCTCAAAGACTCGCTCACCATAAAGCCTCCCACAATCAGTTGGGTTGTTCAAAATGGTCCTTTCTCAGTCCTTTGAAAAAGACATTGCGCCTCTTCCAAGTGCTTGGCACAGCAAAAAATGCCAAATGCTGAATACTCAGTGACTCATCACAAGCTTGAAAAAATGGCAGCAGGACACAGTGTTTGCTTGCACATGTCA